TAGATAGATATAATTATGGTATGAAATAAACACTTAGATGTTAGTAACTGTATATATGTGCGTTAGCGTGCATAAAAAGATTTACTTAATTTAAAGTGAAAACAAAACATTGCTCAATGTTGTTAGCAGAGCTATGGAGTATATTGTTGTGTCGTGGCACAATAGTAAAATAAGAAAATCAAGTCGAAGTTGGGTTAAGGAACTAGTGTATTTAACATCACAGATACAAAGGTAGGAAACGGCTACTACTCAGTTAGGCAGTGTAGTACTGTCGCTGCTACTACGGGTATGTACTACTGACACTATATATATAGTGAGAACCGGTGTAATTCCCTTGTGTTAGAGGCCGGTGTAACATATATATTAATAAATATACTTATATCTACGTTTGTAGTGCAACTTAAAGTTTCATGCTTTTTCCCAATTCGTCAGACATGAAGTGGTGAATGAAATACGGTTGCTTTTTTTAATACTGGATCTCATGAGAGGAACGTTAAATTAAACACAAATTCATATATATATATATATATATATATATATATATATATATATATATATATATATAATTATTTATTTTAAAAAATTTATAACATAAATGTTATAAAATCACTACAAAAATAGCCATTTTGCTTCAACACCCACGGTATCTTATGAAGTGATGATGTTGAATGTAAAATAAATGGTTTTAAAAGTTTCAAATTAATTAACAATCCTTCGCAAGGGGACTCTACTTTGTATTGAGCAATCTTTTTAAGAATAGTAATTGTTGGTTTTGGAATTCATTCCGTATACACCAATCATATACTTATATATATTATATATATATATATATATATATATATATATATATATATATATACACACACACAAATATATACATACAGGGTGTCCATAAAGTTCGTGTGCACTTAAAAAAAAGTTATAACTTTATTTGTATTAGAAATAATTTGTAAAAAGGATTAGAAAGAAGTAAATCTATATTTTTAAGGTTTTAGTGAAATTTTACTTAAGTTTCCACATGTCCTCCATCATTAGCAATACGAAGGGTAATACGATTTTGCAGTTTACCGAAAACATTTTCCAACTGATTTACAGTAATGCCTGAAATCACATTAGTTATTTTAGCTATACTTAAAACTAGGTACATTAAACTTTATGACATTTTTTACAGATTATTTCTATCACAAATAAAAATAAAGTTATAAATCTTTTAAAGTGCACACGAACTTTATGGACATCCTGTATATATATATATATATATATATGTGTGTGTGTGTGTGTGTGTGTGTGTGTGTGTGTGTGCATTGAAAGAGAGAGAGAAAGGTAGCATCCAGACGTATTACATCCGGTTTTTTTTTATTTATGAAAATAGGTTTAGTATGCCAATTACATTTTTTTTTCTTGTCTCTTTTTCCATGTCCGCTTAAAGAGTATACGCCGATGTACCCAATTGGAACAAGGCATTTAAAATCATTATAAACTGTTTGGGCCATTATTAAATGACTCTCCAACCAGAATTATGTCCCAGTTTAAAAAAAAATTGAGCATAAACACTTCCGGTTTTCAAAACATAATGTTATATATATAAATGTACGTATGTATTATTGTTTGTCTGTATTTCTGAGATGTGGTATTGTAACTACACTATTTAAATTGTTCGGACTGTTGTCCTCTCTTTACATTAAAGAAGCGGACAACGGTCCAAACAGTGTAAATAGTGCAGATAGTTAAAATAACTCATCTCAGAAGTATAGGTAGATCCTGAAGAAGGCCGGGGCGTACAACGGTCGAATCGTCGTTAATATGGCAATAAAAATGAGGACAACAGTCCAAACAATGTAAATAGTGTAAATAGTTTCAATACCTCATCTCAGAAGTATAGACAGATCCTAAAGAAGGTCGGGGCGTACAACGATCGAAACGTCGTTAATATGGCAATAAAAATGAGGACAACAGTCCAAACAATGTAAATAGTGTAAATAGTTACAATACCTCATCTCAGAAGTATAGGTAGATCCTGAAGAAGGCCGCGGCGTGCAACGGCCAAAACGTCGTTAATATGGCAATAAAAATGAGGACAACAGTTCAAACAATGTAAATAGCACAGACACCAAGACATGATTTGATGATAGTGGTGAAAACTTTGTGCACAGTCAACCACACTTTTTGAACGGCCGAATATCACGTGCCACAAGGTCCCCAAACAACCTTTTTAATTTCTGAGTTTTCCTCCTCCTAGACCAGTTGCCATCCAAGGCAAGAACCCATCCTGTCCTGCTATTTACCCATAGCTGGAGGGAGAAGAGGATGATTCATACCTTTCCCAAGGGTATTATCACGTAAGTGAATGTAATATAACTGTAATTCGAACTCGGCTCTCCGATTCCTCAGTCCGATCCGCTTTCCACTACTCTATGCCCTCCTTATATATATATATATATATATATATATATATATATATATATATATATATATATATATATATATATATATATATATATATATATATATATATATATATATATATATATATATATATATATATATATATCCGATTTTTTAGGCGGACCCCTGTTCGTCGACTCTTCAGGGGTTATCAGCTCTCTATATATAAGACAGATAGAGAAAGTGAGGTTGGCTGCAGATGTTCTTATTAACATGTTCTATGAAAAAAATAGACATTATATGTCAACTAAATTTATTGATCGTTTTTATTTTGTATGCGAATAACATGACCTTCTCATGCTTGACTCATCAAGAGAGGCGTGAGTAAGAAAACATTCGCATACTAAAGTTTAATAAATTTAATACAGAAAATATCTATTCTTTTTGCTAAGATATGTTCGCAAGAACAATTGCTGTCAAATATATATATATATATATATATATATATATATATATATATATATATATATATATTACCAGTCAAAAGTATTTAGCCACGCTTTTTTTTTTTTATTTCTTAACCTAAAAGTTTTATTTTTAATGAAACAAGTTAAACCCCACAATGGTTTTATTTATTATACTAATTACAAGTTTTTCTCAGTAACTTTGACTTTAGTATGACCAGATATCTTTTGAAAAAAAATGGATTTGAAGGCGTTTTTCTTCTTTAGTACTGAGCGTGAATAAAACATTTTCCAAAAGTTTCATTATACCACCACTTGAACTCACATTAGACTAGATTGTGTTGAATTACTGCTTGCTAGATACTACCTGAATTACTTGTGCTGCATATGTGCCTTGCCTAGTAGTGAAATCTGTTATTCTTATTTTGTTTAAATTAAAACCTAATTTTTCAACTTTCTTCCGTATTAAATCTTTTTTCTCACCAAAATGCCCAAAACACGGGAACTTACAATTGAACAAAGACAAGAGATCATTATTTTAAAGAAAGAAGGATATTCAAGCAGAGAAATTTTTTAAAAAATCCCAGAACTACAGTGGATTATGCTGTTAGTAGACATTAGGAAACAGGATAAAACAAGGCCAAAAGTAGGGCTGGTAAACCAAAAGCAACAACAAAAGCAGAGGATAATTTTATCAGAGTCATCAGCTTGCGTTACAGAAAGCTGACTGCTCCAAACATCACTGCAAAACTGAACCAATGTCGTGAAAAAATGTGGCAATATCCGCTGTGAGGAGAAGACTCTGTGAAGCTGACCAAAATGGCAGAATTGCTGTCAAGAAACCACTGTTGAGGAATCAAAACAATATCAAAATGCTTCATTGAGCGAAGGCGAACAAAGTCTGGACAACAGAGCATAGAGCAATGGAATAGAGTCCTTTGGACTAACGAAACAAAGTTCGAAATCTTAGAGTCAAATATGAGGGACTATGTGCGGCGAGGAGTTGTTGAAAGAACTGCAACCCCCCTGTATAACATCAACCATAAAGTATGGAGGAGGCTCTGTTATGGTGTATGTGTGTAAGTGGGTGGGGGCTTTTGCCCATTGCAAAGTCGTGGATGTGCACCAGGTGAAGGGTAAATTGAATCAGACCGGCTATCACAGCATACTGCAGCATCACGCGATCCCATCTGGAACGCGGCTTGTGGGTCAAGGATTTGTACACATGCAAGAAAATGACTCAAAGAAAACGAGTAAACCCTGGCAGAGGTACATTAAAAGCAAAGAGGGACAGCACGTCCTTCAACTGATATCTTGGTCGGCGCAACCCCATTGAACTGGTGTGGGATGAACTTGACCGAAAATTCAAAGCCAAACGACCCACAAGTGCGGCTCATCTCTGGCAACTCTTACAGGAAAACTGAGAAGAAATATTTTTAGTCTACCGCCAGTCTTTGGTGGAAAGAAAGCCGAGAATCTGTGAAGCAGGGGGTCATTTTGATGAATCAAAAGTTTCTGTTTGTTTTTTTGGGGGGTGCTTAATTTGTATTTAATGTGGCCCAGGAAGACTTGTATTTAGTATAATAAAAAAACCATAGTGGTGTTTAATTTGTTTCGTTGAAAATAACACTCTTAGGATGAGAAATAAAAATTTTGAGAGTGGTCAAATACTTTTGACTGGTAGTGTGAGTGTATATATATATATATATATATATATATATATATATATATATATATATATATATATATATATATAATATTTTCATAAGTATAAAGTGAACACGTATCATTAGAAAGAACCGTGAAAATTTCACAGTTTTCCTATTTAAAAATAAATCTACACCAGAAATGGCTTGCGAATTTGCGAATTGAGCTCGTTAACCATAGCATCATGGTAGGCGCCTTATTGATTTTTTACTAAAATTCCAAAATTAAAGCTTTTTTAAACAGAAAACACTAGGTTAGATTTATTCATTGATTGAGTTTTTTGTTTTTAATAACGATTTTCAGATACAAGTCCTACTATTTAACCCACAGATAAGATTCCCGTGGTTATTTGTGTATGAGTGAGTGTAACAAACCCGACTAGAATTCGAAATCGGCCTTCCGATTTCTTATTCCGTTTCCCATTTCACCACCTGCACATCCAAGCTTACAGCACCTGGTATTCTCAAGCGTTCACCCATCTAGGTACTGACCAGGCTCGACGTTGCTTAACTTCGTTGATCGTACGAGAACCGGTGTTTCAACGTGATATGGCCGTAAGCCCATTACACCACCTGCGCATCCAAGCTTACAGCACCTTGAATTCCCAAGCGGTCACCCATCTAGGTACTGACAAAGCTCGACGTTGCTTAACTTAGGTGAGAATACGGGAACCGGTGTTTCAACGTGATGTAGCCGTAAGTCTATTACACCACCCGCACATCCAAACTGATAGCACCTGGTATTCTCAAACGGTCACCCATCTCGATACTAACCAGGCGCATTAAAACGAACCGTAGTGGCAAAACCGGTTTTTTATCCTTTGATGAAAATGGAATAAAATAAATATTTTCAGATTGCACATTTCATTATCCTCTTAAAATAGAAAAAAAGATTTGAGACCTTTGTTAAGATAGAATGCAATTTTTATCTTCACTCTCTATTATTATATTTTTGTTTTATGTGGTCTCCACGCACCCCCGTTGTTAAAAGAGTTACAAAAAAATTTAGTTACTTTTTTGCCTTGTTTTTCATTCCAGCGTCTTTGTCAGGCTGACATATTTTTGTCTCACACCCACGCATATAGAATATTTTTGTGGTTTATTTATTTACTAGCTTAAAAGCCGCCCTGTTGGGCGGCATTTAAGCTAGCTCCTGTGAAGGCATCTACATTGGGCCTTCATCACAATAGGTAAGGATGGGGTAGATACGATAAGCAACAATAAACTACAGAAGAACTCAAAATTGATCGCTGCATTTAAGTATTGCATTGATATTTAAGCTTACTTCTTTAAAAGTTCAACGATAATTCTTCTACCGACACTTAAAGAGAGTTTGATGTACGGAGGTCCTTACTTTCCGTACAAACAATTATTTTTATTTCATGGGTGACTTTCGCTGGATTTCGCAATTTCGATTATTCCCAAATTTATTTCCAAGTTGTAAAAATTGTTATCGTATCTAAAAAAAATCGTTTCAAAAAAGCACGTAAAAATCACCGAAAACATTGGCAGTAATGAAAAGTTCGGAATCCAAAATTTCAGGATTACGAGTCCGACCCAAATGTTTTTAATTTGCTGACGGAGTCGACCTGATTCCAAAATGGTATGATATATTGGGTCCATGCTTCTAAGTGCAAAATTGATAAAGTGTGACACACTGACATTCGAATTTATTATATAGATTACTGCTTATCAAAAGTTATTTAAAGCCGAAACATATATTCATTTTCCAACACATATAGCTTAGATGTTCACAATCCGAAAGTGTGGGGGCACCCAGTGAGAATCGAACTTTATGAAATTAAATTCAGTCGCAATTGTTCTAGCGAGACAAGCTAAACTAAACATTACACCACCTCGAGGTTATTTTAAAAAATGAAAAATCCCTAGCTTAGATATATAACATTTTTGAAAGTATGGGACACCCAGTGAGGATCGAACTCACTATTCACTTGTAACTGTTTTAGCGAGACAAGCTTGCTAACCATTACACCACGCCGAGATGCCCACTAAAAGCCGAAACATATATTGGATTGTAGGAGGTTTCTTGCTGCGCCCTGTATTACAAATCCGTCCTCTATTTAAGTACTGATCGGGCGTGACAATATTTTAGAGAGAATTTAAAAACAAAAACATATCGTACTCTGAATTTGATTTCAATCGTTTGACAAATTTGAAATTGTTTAAAGACAATAAAACTATGCATGTCTGTCCGATTTTCAAAATCAAGAAACATTACTAGATTGATACAAAATCATTTATGAACAAAATCTTTTATTCATGTAGACTCATAGCATCATTATTCAACCCTGAAGATATTTTAACTGGCTTTTTATTATAATTCTATACTCTGTCATAAAATAACGACCCCGGGTTTACTCCTGGGAATCCTTCGATGAATTTTTCGACAGCTTCAACCTACTGACCAAACAAAAAGTATTGCATAGGGTGAAACAATAGTTTGAAAATGACACGACTGAAGAATATAAAACTTTCCACAACACCGGCGTGTTAAAAAAAAAACTTCCCATACCAGCTGTGTGAAGAAGAACCAACCATTCTATTGCATATAGATGAACCTCCCATACCATCTGCATTTAAGAGAACGCCCCATGCCATCAGCATGTAAACTTCCTATACTATCTTCATATAGAAGAATTTCTGATACTACTTGTATGATTATATGTTGCATCGCTTTTGCAACAAGAGTGTGAATGTTAACATGCAGTAACTCTTCGAATCTCTTCCTCAGGAAAATGTCTTTTCTGTTCTAAAACGTTATTTAAACAAATTCATTGATTCGCATTTAATCTTTTTATAATAATTTCATAAATTATTTGAACTACAAATTTTGTCAAACGGTTTCTTTATTTCGCCAGTTTTCAAATTCTGGGGTCATTCAGGACGTTCTTTGTTTTTGAAAAAAAATTCTGGGGTCATTCAGGACGTTCTTTGTTTTTGAAATGAAAAAACTCGCAACTACTGCAACATTACGATATCCTTTAGTATATCTATTTATTTATTAATCGATTTATTTAGTAATCGATTTATTTAGGAATCTGTTTCTTAAGTAATCTATCTCTTTAGTAGTCGATATTTTTAGTAATCTAATTCGTTGGTAATCAATAACTTTGATAAATTATTTCTTTAGTAATCAATTATTAGTAATCTATTTCATTAGTAAGCTATTTCATTAGTAATCTATTCCTATAGTAATTTATTTCATTAGTAATCTATTTCTATAGCAAGCTATTTCTGTAGTAATCTAGTTCATTAGTGGACTGTTCCTATAGTAATCTATTTCATTAGTAAACTATTTCTATACTAATCTATTTCATTAGTAAACTATTTCTATAGTAATCTTTTTCTATAGTAATCTATTTCATTCGTAATCTATTTCTATAGTAAGCTATTTCATTAGAATTCTAATTCTATAGTAATCTATTTCTATAGCAATCTATCTCATTAGTAATCAATTTTATAACAATCTATTTCTATAGTAATCTCTTTCATTAGTAGTCTATTTCTATAGTAATCAATTTCATTAGTAATTAATTTCTATAGCAATGTATTTCTATAGTAATCTATTTCAGTAGTAATCTATTTCTATAGTAATCAATTCTATAATAATCTATTTTATTAGTAATCTATTCTATAGTAATCTATTTCATTAGTAATCTATTTTCTTCGGTGTGCAAATGACAACGGTTATTGTCGCGGAACGTTCGATCGGTGAACGGGTCCTGGCTTTGTCTGTGGTGTTAACTTTTAAACTAATGTCCTTGGGGAAGGTATGAATCTATCTCGTCTCCCCACAAACCAACAACAACCAGCTAAGAATTAAATAGCAGGGTAGACTGCATTCTCTAGCCTTTGTTGCCCAAGAGAATGGCATTTTTGAATTCAAAGCTGTAAAGAAGGTAACGTGAAACAAACAGGATTATGGGTAAAGGTCATGATTGCTTATAAACTGAAGGTATTAATTTTTTTTTAATCATTTCATCACGACCCCCAAGCAAGGCGGAGATATCGTTAGTTACAGGGAATGAAAGTGTAAGAAAAGACTGAGAATAAGGAGGATTGTGGAAAGGGAAAAAGATGAACGGTATTCAAGAAGACAGATGGCGATTGATGTTGCATTTAAATTTTAAAGATTGTAGTTTTTGGGGAACTGGAAGGGAGTTTCACAGGTGGGAAGTGCGAGAAAATAAACTGTTGGAGTAGAAGTAGCGGTTACATTTATTTATTTCACCAGTAAAAGGCTGAGACCTAGATGCCAATCTAGTAGCACGCTTAAATTCATGTATTTCGGGTCCCAGGAGAAACAAATTCAAAGCAAATTCAAATGTAAACGATCCTGACCATGCATTTCAACTGCAGTTACTTTCTCACTGGCGTGATGTGGCTTCCCTCTGTCTTTTCTACAAATATTTTCGCAGCAACTGGTCTGATGAGCTTTTTCCCTAATGGCTCGACTGCATGAAAATAAGCCTGCTACTAGATTGGCAACTAGGTCTCCTCGTTTTACTGTTGAACTAGCTAGATACAACCGTCATTTCTATTCTAACAGTTTCTTTTCTCGCACTTCCCACCTATTGAACTCCCTTCCGATTTCTTGCTTTCCTGTCACCTACAACCATCAAAAATTTAAATCGCCATCTTCTGTCTTCATGAAACCTGTTCATTTATTGTCCTTTCTCCTCACTAAAGTCTTCTCATTCTCTTTCACGCCCAGTAACCCCTTGCGTCTTAGTGGCATTATCGCCATATTCTGTCTTCCTGAGACCTGTTCTTTTTTTATTGTCCGTTCTCCTCATTATTTTTATTCTCATTCTCTTTCCTCCCAGTAACCCCTTGCGTCTTAGTGGCATTATCACCATCTTCTATTGTGCCTGAAATTCTGTTCTTTTATTTCCTTTCTCCTCACTAAAAAGTCTTCCCATTCTTCTAAAAATTTCCCATCTTAACCCCTTGCGTCTTAGTGGCATTATCGCCATCTTCTGTCTTCCTGAAACCTGTTCTTTTATTGTCCTTTTCTCCTTGGGAAAAGTCTTCTCATTCTCTTTCACTCCCAGTAACCCCTTGCGTCTTAGTGGCTTTATCGCCATCTTCTGTCTTCCTGAAACCTGTTCTTTTATTGTCCTTTTTCTCCTCATAAAGTCTTCTCATTCTCTTTCCTCCCAGTAACCCCTTGCGTCTTAGTGGCATTATCGCCATCTTCTGTCTTCCTGAAACCTGTTTTTTTATTGTCCTTTCTCCTCATGAAAGTCTTCTCATTCTCTTTCCTCCCAGTAACCCCTTGCGTCTTAGTGGCATTATCGCCATCTTCTGTCTTCCTGAAACCTGTTCTTTTATTGTCCTTTTCTCCTCACTAAAGTCTTCTCATTCTCTTTCACTCCCAGTAACCCCTTGCGTCTTAGTGGCATTATCGCCATCTTCTGTCTTCCTGAAACCTGTTCTTTTATTGTCCTTTCTCTTCACTAAAGTCTTCTCATTCTCTTTCACTCCCAGTAACCCCTTGCGTCTCAGTGGCATTATCGCCATCTTCTGTCTTCCTGAAACATGTTCTTTTATTGTCCTTTCCTTTCACTAAAGTCTTCTCATTCTCTTTCACTCCCAGTAACCCCTTGCGTCTTAGTGGCATTATCGCCATCTTCTTTCTTCCTGAAACCTGTTCTTTTATTGTCCTTTCTCCTCAC